TTTCTCCGACGTAGTTGCTTTGTCCGCAACTGCACCAGATCCGGTAAACGACTCCAGATGTTTCTTGCGGTGACAGTAGGTCTTTTGTTCTCATCACCTAACGCCTTATGATAGCCTCCGGTCTGTGTGCAACTCCAACCCGGGGTGGTGCGAGAAGGCGACTAGCGGCCTCAGAGACGTTCTTGATGTACGGGATCGCTCACCATAATATGGAGTCGGCACGATTTTGTCGCTCGTCTCGTTTTCGCATGCACCGGTTGACGAAGTTGCGCGAGTAACCATTTTCTTTGAAAACCCGTCGAAGATATTGGGATTCGGCGACCTTGTCTTCCAGTTCACTGCAGTGCGTCTCAACACGCCCATATAGCTTTCTTACGCAACTGCGTTTGTGGCTGATTGGTTGGTTACTGCTGGAGTTCAGTATTTACGTCGTGTTCGTCGCTTTTTGTGAACACGTTGGTCTTTAGGCCATCACAATCTTTGCAACAGACGAGGACATCAAGGAAGGCCAGCTGGTTCTTTTCTTCCTCCTCCATCGTAAATTTTATATCCAGGAAGACGCTGTTGAAATGCTCTTTGAATGTTAACACCTGATCCCGTTCGATGACGACGACGAAGATATTGTCCACATACCGAGCCCGGAATTTCGATCTGCGGTGTTGGAAGACCAGCGACTCCAACCGCTGTAGGACTGCCTCGGCGATGAATCCCGAAATCGCCGAGCCCATTGGTGTTCCTTCCACCTGCTCGTAGATTGTTCCGTCAAACGTGAAGTACCTCCTGAGACAGAACTTTTGGAGCTGAAGGACTAGGGCATGTCCGTGACGATTCTCCGTTTCATTGTATTTGCTTCGTAGGATTATCTCGATGGTCTCGATTGCCAGATCCTGGGGGATAGAAGAAAAGATGGACGTGACATAAAAAGGTACAGTGACCTCATTTGGCAATGGACTTACTCCCTTAAGCTTCTCCAGGAATTGTGTTGACGAAGAGACGGTGGTGTCCGAATCAGCGGTCAGAAATTCGAGGCGCCGAAACAGCCATTTTGCCAGTCCGTACGTTGGAGTACCTTTGAGCGATACAATGGGCCGGAGAGGAACGCCCTCCTTGTACACCTTGGGGAGACCATAGAATCGGGTCAAGGCCGTTTCTCGGGCTCTCGCCTTGCGTCGGTTGGTTGGTGTTATTGCACTCGAGTTCTCCAGTGCCACCAGTGTCGCATTAATTTTGCGTGTCAGCATTTTTACGGGATTGCGTTCACATAGGACATAAAACTGGCGATCCTCCAGTAGGTTTTTGGCCTTCTGAAGGTAGTCTGTTCTGTCCAGTACGACGATCAACTAGTACGATGATCAACCAGTTTCTGGAACTCGCATCTTCGCTTGAATCAACACTGTCGATACTGCTGGAAATGAGATCAGGTGGAGTGGCTGGTTCGAAATGCATCGTGCGCCACGCACTGGCTGATTTGTCAACCCCTACAAATCAGACTTTGGCGAGTGTCGTCGTAGGTCCATATTAGGATGGGTCATTGCAACCTGATTTACAGCCCCGACGACACAATTGTTCCCCCAGTTGGCCGCCATCTACGCCAACGCTGACGTGATAACTGAAAGGCGATAAGAAAACACCGCGCTGAACCGACCTTGGATTCTTCCTCCTCTTCCACCATGAATCCATGTGAAAACCAAGTCACTTCGATGGGACGGATTTCGGGCGCAGTAAATGACGCCACATGAAACCAAGTTTGCGCGTGTTAAACGTATTCCGCTTAGGTCCGATGCAGTAGCAGCTCCCGTTTTGCTGACCGATGCAGGGGGTAAATTACCCTTTTTCGTCAACACCCTCTCAGATCTCTGGCAACTTTAACAGCTGAAGTACCCTGGTCTACATATAATGCAGGGACCTGATAAACAATGGGTGAAAGGGTTCGCTTGACAAGCCTATGCCAGTTAAGTGTGAATTATGTCGCTTGCTTCGATTAAAAATCGAAAAAATGTTTGGTCTTTCTTTTACAAACTTTTTATCAAGGCGTTTTTTTCTTTTATAAACTTCTACCTGTTCGTTGGCAGCAAGAGGCAAAAAGCAACAAAGTTTTGACTGGCATGAGTCTGAGGGTTTGCAAGCTTCACCATTTATTTAGGGATTAACATCTGAAATTCCAAAATAGTACCATGAGAGGACCTGTTTCATGCGTGACAGGGGTGCGTGAAGGCTCCTCTTCCGAAACCGAGCATATTTTCGAGAAAGGCAGACAAAAGCACCTTGGTTACTAACCAGGTCATGTGGCCAACACTGAAAAGCAGAGGTGCAGCCAGCATGCATGCTATTAAAAAATTCTGACTACTCAACTCCAGCACGTGAGGCTTAAGGAGGCTTTTCCTAAAAATGTACCAGCGTGATCTAAGGGATATTTTAAATTTTCGGGACGTCATGGACACTGTACATTAGCAACGCAAGGAAAAAAACATTTGATCCTCAGAGTGGCAAGCCAAACTCTAATTTCCTTTTTCCATCCTTTTGGCATGTCGAAAGTTTGGACTGGGATAGTATAAATGGCTGTGGATAGGGCAACGTATGTCGAAAAATGGGACGAACTTTGTTCACGGACGAAAAGACGACAAGTCTTTAGATCAGAAGAAAGAGGGTAAGTCACGTCTAAGAGCATTCGACCAGTGAAATGAGTAATCTTTGTGCAATGCCGTCATATAGTGATGTCGATAAGTAAGGACGACGAAGGAATGCGAAAGCTACGTCCTATCACACCGCTGCACTTTTAACGGATCAGGAGATATGGCAGGTTGGCGAATGGAGGTAGTAAAATAGCGAAAGGTGCGCGAAAAACGGAAATGAAGGCAAGATTTCAGAGTTCTTGTTCTTTCGTGTGAGATAACTAGACCGGCGTGGCGCGCTTATGGGCCTGCAATATAAGTATTGATTAATGTGCTGTGACCCTACAACAGGCCACGCAGGAGTTGCACTGACCCAACACGATGACCAGCTCAGAGTACGGCGCACGTTTTGGGCTACGCACCCATTGCGAATGCCATACAGAGGAAGCGTTGCAGCACGCCTAGACGCAGACTCATACTGCACAAGTTAACTGCGCCCAATCCCGTATCAGATGGCTGGCCGGCACGAACAGTGAGCTGGTGCCTGGGAGAGGGAAAAGAAGGTGAGGTAGACTCTGGGGACTGCGTCCTCTCGGCATTTCAGTGCATATTCCTCACTGTAAACAAGCAGACGTGCCCGAGTCTGTCACGGTGCGCTAAAGGCCATCGCGTGGAAGGCTGCCAATTGACGATGTATCCCAATCCTCCTTTCAAGGCGGAGAGTCAGGCTGCAATAGTTCATTCTTAACGTGTCCTTTATAACATTTCTATTGAGTTGGAATCCGAGCTGGTGTTCTTCCTTGCTGTATGAAATCTTGGTCCTTCGTGCGCCTACCAGGCATGCGTAGCACACTCAGACGAATCGTTTAACTTTGTAAGTCACTGCATCCGATCCCCTCTCCGGTATTCTCAACTTAGACTTAATACCGAGCTCAGTTGGGTGAGGCTTGGGGGAGTGTGGTTGCTGCAGCGCAATTCCACTATCGCCACAAACCGATTCATGCTCAAGTCACAGTTCTTGCGCCCACAATGCTGAGAGGCACACGGTGAACATCATCGGTAACGACGAAAAAGCTGTGGATTAACTTGCTGAACGAGATGGCGTCCCTGTAACCGGAGCATGCACTGTTTCTTTCGATTCCGTAACACGCACAACAGCGCCTAAGAAAGACATTGTCAGTTAGGATTTAAGATGAAAAAAACATGAAAGCATAGTGCTACTACCACCGCGAATATTTCAAATGTCTTTCAAAACCAGTTTTGAAACTCCTGGGTCAGAATAAAACACATTGTGAACCAGAATAAACTGCAATAAGTGCGATTATGGTACAAAAACTAATAAGTTACTTTAGGAAGTCGGGCTTTTTGGCCTATTCTTCAATCAGATTTGTGCAAACGCTTAGACCAATTTAGTATTTTTTCCGGTCGGTGAACCTTAACTTCACGTAAAGAACTTTTTGTCCTATTCCTAATTATTTGGAGTAATGTATCTAATTCAAAAAGATGATTACTGCCTAGTCGGCTAATTTTCATTTGAAAAACTGTTATGACCCGGCCTGGTACCTGGAAGCACGTGGGAGCGCATGCGTGCCCGACTCTTGGCCCCAATACCAACGCGGCAGAGAAGAAGAACGCGACCAGCCACGAAAATGTCAAAACTAACTGGAAGTAATGCACATTTATAATGCCCTACTGTGGTTCGCCGGCATTCGGCCCAATGCCCTTCGGGAAGAACATTCCAGACGAGTTGATCGATAATTCGAATGCGCAGATCGATCAGGCTCGAGGGGAAAAGCCAATGGAGAGCCGCCACGATTAAGATGACAGCGCAATAGAGAAAACGCACGTGGCCTCCAGTGATCGGCTGACTCTTGTGTTTGAGAGCGTAAGCACTCCTAACAAAAACGTACTACATTTATTTAGGGTTCCCGGTTAAATCTGGCAATGTACCCCGGTGACGGCAATTCCAATAGTAAGCCGAGTTCTGTCTGTGCGAGAAATCTTTCGTGCAATTCTGACAACTGTCGTGATTCAAAATGTCGTATCTTAACCTTATGGATCCCGTTACTCCTTCACGCATTCATCGGACTGTTAACCCTGATTGCGGGTTCACACTTGGGTGCTTCTTTAATACTATCGCTGGCTAGCGTTATTATCTTCAATAATTATGTTGTCACCCATCGATCTAGTTACGATTAGTCCACACCCCATGAGCTACTGTTAGGAGCTATTTGCGCGGATATTATTTTCGAGCCCCTCTTAAACGACCGCCCTGGTCTCTTCGTTTCGATAAACCGACTTCAACTGTCGACTGCTTGTCGTTATGTGGTCTTGTCTGAAGACGCTGAGCTGGGCTTCAAGGCTGACGAAATTAAACAATCGAAACAGCAACGAGTGTCGTTTTTCATTAAGTATTTCCAATAATAATGATTGCAGCAAAAACATTTTGGAAAGTCTGAACCGGATAATGTGGACAGTGAAACTCTGAAAGTGCTCGTTTGCGAGACTGTAGTCTGCAGCCCATGATGGGTTTTCCAGCAAATTTATCCTCAGCCACTGGCTTTGATTCCTTTATTCTTATCATCTGCTTTACTGTTAAACGCCGTAGCGATTTTCGCCCTACGTCGACATTTCTCTGCGTTAGGCTTCTTCAGACTATGGGAGGTCTTGTTTGTTAGAGGTGGTCTGAAGATGAGAAAAACTGTTTATTGCGTGTTCTGTCGCACGGATATCTTTGAGCAACACATATTTACTACTGTCTCTGATGATGGGTTCGAGTGGGGATTCGAGACGTCAGGCCAATAAACTTCTCGTTCCAGCGGTCTCATTATCTTCTTTTGAAACTTCTTGACATAGGAATCGACGCAAGTGCAAGCCCCACGCGAATATTTTAAATAATGTTTTACGGCACACCTCCCAGTTGGTATTTTCGAAATGCGCGAAAGTTGTAGCCTTCTTTTATCTGCTTAACTGCCTCTGGGTTATGACCTATGTTTTAAAGACTAACAAACTTCCTTTATACTGTTACTCCAACGGTTGAAGCCTTTGGACTTCCTACGCCACGGACCCTAATTTTCGGCTCAGTATGCAGATAACACCCTCGTCATCGTCGAACGAGACCAGGTTCTCGCATTTAAAGAGCATCTCACCGCGGTCTTCCACCACATACAACCCCTGATGGACGAGGAAGAAGACAATCAGCTCGCCTGCCTTATGTCCTCGTCTGCCGCAAAGAGTGTGGTAGACTAAAAACTAAAGTGTTCAGGAAAGCGACTGATACGACGCAAGTACTGAGGCCTAAGAGCAACCACCCAGTGAACCACAATTACAGTTACGTAATGGCATTATACCGGCGGGTTGAGATGTATTGTAGCGATCCGGAAGACGAGGTTGTTGAATTACAATACTGTAGACGGATGTTTAAAGCTAATAGTTAACCGCGAAAATTCGTCCCTCGGTACATGCGCAAAGGAGATGAGAAACCTAAACCAACCGGTCCCAAATGTTGGCGAGTAGAACGTCTTGGGAGTCGTCAGCCCTCTTCTCATACGTCTTGGAGTCAGGGCTGCACACAGGCCGGAGGCAACCGTCAAACGCCAGGCCATGAGGCTGAAAAATCCAATGCCACGGCAGGGAACATCTGAGTCGTTTACCGGATCTGTTGCAGTTACAGACAAAACAACTACGTCGGAAAAACTGAGAGAGTACTCCGGATGCGAATGCCCGAACACGAAGCATCAATGAAGAGGTACGACGCCGGACTCTAAGATCGCGGCCTATTTGACGAGACCCGACCACACTTCTGAATTTAACGGCGCAGAAATACTAGCCAGAGTAGACCGCCGCGTGAGCTGCGAACTGCTTGAGCCATGGTTCTGCGGCCCTAACTCATTTAACAAGCACAATAACTTCCTGGTCCAGTATTTCGTACTGAGACTGCCTGAGTAAAGTAATTAGCCACGAGGGGAACGCGTGGGAGGCCACCAGTCCCAGTGACGGCGGGCTAAATGTCCGAGTAATTATCATGCCGGGGGTCAACAATGATGATAAAATCACGGTAATTAACGACTCGGGAGCAGAGTAACAAGCATTCATCGCATGAAATACGATCCCACGCAATGAAGGCGGGTGCAGATAACTGTGCCAGGCATACAGTTGTACGGCTATTCAGTCCAGTAGATGCTGCGCTCTTTGTACCCCCACTACCCTTACCTGCGACTCTCGCTTAGGATGGGTTTGAGTGGGAATTCGAAACGCCAGGCCGGTAAACTTCTTCTTTCAGCGATTGCATCTGCTTCCGAACTGCTCCCTGGAACTCGCCTACTCGCTTATGTTGGCAGTCAAGCTATTTATATAGAAATAATTGCAACTGAAGAAATACAGTGTAATAGGGCACTTTCCTCTTCGAAAAATCTGTGGAGTGGCTAGCTGCTTAAAATTCACGTAACAACCTGGTTTTTGAAAATCCATGTCGGTTTTTTTCAAATTACGACTCGGCCAAAAGAAGTGTTTTACTTAATAATGTTTGAATAGACATGTACTTTCATCATTAAAGTTGTCAAAAATGACGTCAGCACTTCACGTGAAGCAGAAATATCTATTTTAACTTTGCGCAAGCCTATTTACACTCGTAAATCATCCTCTAAGGGTTGGAAGGCGGAGTTGGATAAGTTTCTTCAGCTTCGTGGCGAAACCGTGGGCTGCCCCTCTGGCTACTACTTCTGGTCTTATCATGGGGATCAAGACTGGTGTACCTCACAACGTAACTAGTAAATTGAGAAATAAAGGACCAGTCCTTTCCTACAAGAATACGACTCATTTTATTTTAATTCAAATGTATAGATCTTATCTTTTGATCCAAAAACGATTTGCAACATCTACGACCCGATTCCGTTAGCCCATTGAATTTCGAACGATTTGTGTGTATGTACGTCACACGTCTCTGTGGGCTGCTCAGTGCATCCACGGACTGGAAATGCCATAACTACCTAGTAAATCATCTTGACATGAAGTTACTTTTTGAGAGCATTATCTTCTCACCTTTTGCCCACGGTTTTTTTCCAACTGCTGCTCCCTAACTAGTGTAAGCAGACGATTTGCTTCACTTCTGACCCGGTATTATGCTGAGGGCACTTTTTCTGGCTCCCGTATCTAATGATTGGCTTCGAAGTTCCTCTTTCACGTAAGATGACAATCGATCATGATGGGCATTGACATTGCTTTTTGAAGCAAAGAAGTGTGAAATGTGTGATTGCATAGAAATTGGCATGCACATCCACTTGCGTCTTCGCCTTAGTTGATCGATAGGTGGTTGCCTTTTCGTGACCTTTTACACATTCGGAGCTCGTCTGCTTCGGAAGGCCGGTGGATCTGTGTGTGATTATTCCTGTACTAATAAAACCCCCGTAGTTGCCATTGGGAATGCCAGGTGGTGGGGCATTCCTGAACTTGAGTTCGACGGAGGGCTTATGAATTGCATGAGAGACCCCGTCCGTGAACAACGCGCGTTGCGCACGTACACATGATGCGATGGGAGCGTCGTAGACGGAAACCCGCATCGCAAAGGTGCGGTCACTCCCGGTTCGTCGGTGCGGTTGAACATTTATTGCATGACAGTACCTCATCGAAGGTACCCTGCCGCACATACACTACGGGAAAAGTATCAAGCATAGAGAAGCAGTAATAGCAACACAATATAGGCCGGTTAGGTCAATCAAGATCACGGCATCGGTAAGTCCACCGATGGTTACTAACAAACACATCGGTTAACCCGGCCGGAAAATCTACTTCATCCAGATATAGCAAAAGCTGTAGTTTGTACCTCCACAAAACCGTTTTCAGCACGGTGGCCCCACCCCAGTTATCGTCCTTCACCTGCGGGCTAGACGAGATGAGAGTGTTCGGGAGTGCGTGTATTCCTACATCAGGTTGTGTCTAAACAAACCACCATCCTCCTTCCTCATCCCCAAACATAAGTCCTACGCATCGATGGCAATCCTGTAGGCGACCCACGCTAATTGGAGTCTTTCCGCTGTGACAATGTTGTGACCCAAAATGGTGTGCAGCAGCCGTCGGGGACGGCTGTGCAATCGTATTTTGGTTGACCGGATTGGTTGACTCGCAAAACTGAGGAAATCTAAGTGTTTGCCGACCACGGTAAGATGATGAATTTCTTAGCAGCTCGTACAGGATATAACAAGCCTCCTAGCGGAGGAGTCACGGATCTTGTAGACCTGGGTCGCGCAGCAGCTGGATGACCCAGCTACCTCGTGTCTCCTTCTTCATGACCCCGCTACTCGTTCACAGTACACGAAAAAGCCATCAACTGACGTCTTCAACTGAACGTAAATGGCAAACTCCTCCGAGAAACGACCTGAACAGTGTAACAGATGCCAGTTTGAATACGACTGGCTCCAATTCATGAACAAGCTTGCTTCGTCGTTCCGGGAGATTTGGCTACAAAGACACTTCTCTCCAAGCCTTCAAGGAGGCCTACAAGGAGAACCGTCAACCCTGTGACAACCACAGAGGTATCCCGTTTCAACATTTTAAGGAACTGTTTTCTAGAGTCCTACGCGATCTTCCGAGCACGCATCTGTAACTGGGACTCCATCCAGTAACACAACGCTGATAATGATTACACTGAACGCAGGATCGAAATCAGTGCTACTCGTCTCACACCAGTGAAAAATTTGCGCATCTGAGAGCAAAACTTCAAGAAAAATCTACACCGACGACAAAATTGTAAACTAGATTTTCAACGACAATCAGGCCCTCAACCTGCTACAACACCAATCATAATACCAAACTGAAAATATACAGGGCCGCTACCCTGACACCGTTCTTGTACGAAACGGAGACGTGGACTGCGTGTGAAAGTCAAACAGAAACGCTCACTCACTTTCACCACAGTTACCCAGGGAGAATACTTAAGGTGAAATGACAGGAAAGAGCGTCAGATAATGAAATCCTGGACAACATCGGCGTCTTCGACATCCACGTCATGTTGGGAAATTTACGATTGGCTTGGAGTGGCTACATTGTGAGGATGTATGAGGACGGCCTGTCCAAACGGCTATTCCAGGCGACGAGGCAACGGGTGCTGTCAAACAGGGCGGACAAAAGCGCCGATACATGGACACTTTGAAGACCTGCTGAAAGAACCTAGAAGTCAACTTTAAGACCTGGGAGGATTTCCTGTCGAGATCGACAGGCTTAACTCGGAGCCGTAAAACTGGATCAGCCATCTTCAAAGTCAACCGAATAGACCCTGCTAGGAAAAAAAACGAGAGGTTCGCAAAACTCAATTGCCGCGGAATATTGGCACAAGCACCCATCCTCCATCATAGTGCCCACATTGTCAACGGATGTATGCGCATCCGTCACACCATTTGATAAAGCTACATGTTCTACACCATTCCACAACATCACACTTTATCTACGCTCACAACCCTGGGTTACACACGGGCCTGCTCCATAATAAGCGCCTGCACGTAACCTCTCCGTAGCACAAAATGCATCATTCCTACAGCAAACATGCGATCCACTTTACCGGTACCGGTATGGCGAGCAAGACGTCGTATGGTATAACGTGTACATTTGTCCGGTGAAAGCGTGTTTACCGGTGTAGCCGAGTACTTAAAGTGAGGACGAGATCGTTTGTGCCACCCGACGGGATGTCCGGCCTTGTCAGTCACTACGTCCATTTCGATCACCAGTGTGTGTTGATAGGCTCAGACAGTCGACTGATGTATAGCAGAGAGAGGGGGGAGTGTGAGACCGACACTAAGGAATACATTCCTCACGGTAAATGAACACATTACGCACTACACTGAACCTGATATGCCCGAGCATTCTATGACACGCTATCGGTTTTGGCTTGGGATGCTATCAGCTGACTGGGCAATTCGGTCTTTCTAAGGGCCGACAGTTAGGCTGAAGTGGCTCCCTGTCATTGCAGTATTTACGGCGTTCACAGCCATGTCAGGTCACTGCTGTCTTCGTTGTAGCCTGGTACACGTTTAGCGACCATCAGATCCTGTGTGGCATGCATAGATGGGTCGTTTTGCCTCGTCAGCCGCTGCGCCCTCTTCAGACACCGATTGCCTTGGCTTTGTCTGGCCATCGTAGAAAGGCTGGTTGATGGAGGAGAGAGTGTAATGGATGCTGTACAGGAGTGATTCACAACAAACAAACCTACACGCGGATCACCACTGTTAGGTCCACCTTGTGAGGCACTCGGTGGATGGCGTTGTTTGCGACAGTCAAACTGCGCATGTCCGTGTATCCTGTCGTCGGCGCTGGTCAGATTAGTGGTTGTCTAAGTAAAGTCAGATTAGGCCGCAATCAGCGTGCTCTCGATATACTCACGTCTCCGACGTTACTCCCCCATTACGTGAGCACTGCCTGTCAGCGTCGAGAACGCTAAAACTTCCGATCACGTCACGAGTTCATGACATTTTATAAAGTTAATCGGCTCATCCGCTTGACCACACAAAGGTACACACAATACCTCTAAAGTAGGTTTAGTTATACACACCTTCTGACCTTAGGGCTTTGGATTTGTCAGGGCTCTTCGGTGCCAAAATAAATCCATTCGTCAGGCCATCTAACTACCAGACTTTTCAGGAGCTAAACTACAACACTGAAACGCGAAAAAGGGCGGTTAATTGGATTGAGCAATAACAGAGCATAAGCATATTTGGTGTGATTTTTCAAGGAAATTAAAGGCAAATGAAGAGTCCATTGTGCTGATAATGTGTTGTTCTATTTTATGACTCCTTCCTCGGTCTGAAGAGACAGGTTTCAATTTTTCAGTCAGTTAGGGCTTCCTGCAGCTCTGAGGCTGTGCATGTATCGTTTGCTTCCTTTCTTCCTGAGTAGGGAACGATCAAGTCATAATGCACCCTTACTTGCAGAAAGTCCCATTGCTGAATCGTTCCCAGCCACGCCTGACAGCCGGGCGAATTTCTCGATGTACATTTTTTGACTCACAAGACTTACTTTATTACGAGTGACTATCTTATTGAGATTGCAAAACAACTGAGATAGCAAAACAAGTGCTGGTTTATTTGTTGGTCCAAAAATGGAAAGAGATTGTTTGGACTCGTAACTGGCAGAATAACTGCCATCTCACTTCCGCCAGCATCATTCTCCTATGTGCTGCTGCTGACCATGGCTTCTCCGCTCCAAAAACAAAAGCCACAATTCTTAGTTTTTCGTTCGGGCTCAGTCACTAAAAGGACATCCTAGTGCAAACAGTGCGCATAATCAGGTCACGACCGACACGAAAACAACCACAGGGTTTTCCAGGATGACCTCAGCCGCGCACTGATTGTGGCGGTCTGCAAAACCAAGTTATTTGGCAAAGAGACAAACATTTTGCAAATGTTCCCGTTCAGCAGTAACCAGTCCGCCACCAGCAAGCGTAGTTCTGTGAGAGCAGTCGTTGAGATGTCATGCAGTGAACCAGAAGACAAGGTTGACGAAATATAGTACTTTAGTCTGGTATTGAGGGAAAATGACGGCCCACACAAATGCAGTAACTAATAGTCACAAACATTGGACGAGGGATGCAAACGAATATAACCCTGATTCCATCAGCCGTTTTCAGCAGAGGACATGTCGGAAGTTGTCAGTCGTTTGGTCGCACCACGTAGGGCTGGGATTGCACACAGGGCCGATTTAACCGTCCAACATGGCTTGATGAGACCGGAATAAAATAAAGTGTCGCGATTGTTGAGATCACGGCTGATCATCAGCGTCGGCGAGAGGTAGAAGGATTACTTTAGGCACGTACTAAAGCACTACCATAAGCGATGAGAAAATGACTTTGAATCATAAATGGCAATGCTGTCTATACGAGCATGTCCCGTCCTCAAATCCAACGAGATCGGAATCCCCAAAAAAGAAAAAAACCAGGCGCTCTGTTGCTTGGAATGTATTGAAAAGCCTAAGAGCCTTGCTCTGGCTTATGTATCAGTAGAAGTCTGTCCTGCAGGACACTTGAATAGAAGAGCTACACCTTCACTTTCAGCAGACTTCTTTTTGAAAAACGTTTTAACTGGCCCTTGTCGGAAAAGTGGCGCAGTAAATGTGCGTTTGAGGGCCTGTTTGCAAAAGAGGCCTCCTCTAAATTTTCCAGAATGATAGGTGTCAGGCGTTTCGTTTTTAAGTTCAGACAGCAAGTAGGTTCTCAGTGATCCATCAGATGCTTAGGCAACTTATCTTATTGGGTTTATATAACGTGTTTTGACGGGACTCGAGACCCAGCGTATAATTTAATGATTTCTTGAAACTTTAAAAAATTTCGGTCCGGTATAAAGGCTCGTACTAATTCTTCTGTTAATGTTTCTTTTCTTGATGTTTATTTTGCGTATGAGCGATGAATTGATGAACCGCACCTTGGTGGTTTGCGGCCTATAGTCATAAGGCCAATAACGGTGATTTCCGTCTTAAGCCACTTGGGCGCAAGTTTTCGGGAACAGCTTTTTCCTCGTTCACAAGAGTGTACGCCGAAGATGACAGTCCAGTCAAATGCGTTGTTTTCGTCCTTGCAGCCTAAATGTGAAACGGGGTCATCCACGTCTGCTGTGGACCGTGTCATACGTTCAATGACGGTAGAGGGGATTTCACGGGTGGGGCGACAAGCTGGACAGAAAGCAGTAAAATGCAAGAAGGCGCAGACAATAAATTTCTACCGAAAGTCTCATCGTACACCGTCATTCGGCAGAGAAAATGAACGCAATCATTCGAAAATAAACAAAAGGTGTCTTTCAAAAAATAACGGACTTTGAGTAAACCACTGCTGGTAAGTTTACACTTAGTCAGGAATGCAGGGGAATTTCAAGCAATGGGAATAGTAAATAATAAGTGGTGTCTATATACACATTGAATTCTACTGTACATACTGGAGTTGCCAGCTACGTGGGGTCCTACACCCCACCGTTACCATTTAGACCGCCATGCGGCCCTTTCTGGCTGGAGGTCTTTCCCTTGTGTCTATATACTCATTATACTAAACACGAGTTATCCCATTTTCGTTTGCATATTGAAAAGTAGATACCTCCATCGCCTCAGACAGCAGCATATTTAGCGTTAGCTGCCTCACTCACTACGTAATCCTGGAAAACAACATATTTTTGCCAAATGGGGCAAAACCCACTAGGTAAGTGACTTGAAAGTGGTTTCAGAGAAGTCAGCAGTAAAATGGCCTGCGAATCCTAAGTTGTGAAGAAGCAGGTTTCCTATTACAACGTCTGTTACACTGACTTAAGATCACTAGGGTGCGAAGCAGGCTCCCCTGTGCAAACTTTACCCCTTTGCCCTTCTTTCCACAGCAAAAGTCTGGTGACTAGGTCAAGAAGCGGAGCACTAAACCAGACAGTATATTTTTATGCATTTGGAGAACAGCAAAGGTATCATTCGCACTGACAGCTAAGTATGGTCCCCGTCTCTATTTTCGGGAGATCATAAAGGACACTTCTTACTTTCCCTGTTTATTCCTGAATACATAGATGGTGGCTACTAAGTTGCCCATTTTCCCGCAGCTGCTATTTTGGGGCGTCTGCCTAGCTTAACTCGAAGGACATCGAAATATCTATGTAGGAGAGTGGACGGTGAACCTGACTATTAAAAAGTTCGAAGGACGCAAACTGTGAGGTGTACCACTGTCCATAGAACGAAGATTTTGTTCTTTTTCCCAAACTCAAGTGGCAATACAGGGCCAAGACGGCTACTGTTGTGCATGGGTTCAGTAACCAACAAAGTTAGGCAGTCCCTCCTCGTGCGGCACATGAATCAGATTTTAACCTAAGGAAGAGTTGTCCTGAACTAGAGACCGCACTAGAAGGCAGCAGTAACAGGACAACCTCGTTTTTTTGCTTGCGCCTATTGCCCATACGTGTACGCGAGTTTGATTCCCGTACTTCGTAATTCAGTACACTCAGTTGAAAGCTGCCTCCACTGCTGCTTGTGCGTTAGTACATTTACATCCGTGTAGTTAGTATTAAGCGGCCGTACAAGTACTTTAGTTGTCTGATGTCTCGAATCCCCTCTCAAACACTCATTCCGAGACTGCAAAAGATAAAACAACGAGCGCACACCGGGCATAGTATTTATGGGGTGCGGTTGCTAAGCCACCACACTCCCACTAAAACTGTCACCTCTCGCACCCGTTTTATGTGCTTCCGTTTAGTGCAATTACCGCTCAGTCGCCCGCAGCCTGCTCGTTAGGTGCGATGAGTTCACCACAGTTGTTGATGGTGGGCGTTTTAATCCTCGTTCCACCTATCGAGTCTCCATCTTTTAAATACGTCATGGACCTCTCATTTTCTCTCCAATCAGTCGCATTTAGTGCTACCCACGGTGGCACTGACGGATTTGTGGCCAATAGTCACCATGCGGTTAGGTATCATGTGATATCGGCCGGGGGCTGTAATCTGGAGTTAGCATGGGGAGGGATGCGGGAGACACAGCTACCCACGGGGTTTGCACTAGCACTCATTACTTTCCAACTGTCCACTTAGCCGTTACTCCTCGTGTCCTTACAATACTTGACTTAAACTTCGCAACTCCGTCTGTCGTCATTTGCTCGTAAAATATGAAAAGCCAGAGGGGGGTCACATAGGGACTTTTGATGCTATGTCCTCATGTCAGGCCGCCAGTGTCTCGCTGGTTGTATGCTCATGCCCAAAGCCAGTCGCTCCAGTATCCTCGCAGATCACTGTAAACCCTGTTGTGACATTGTTTTTCCACACACAACAAGGGTTTCATCCCCTATACCGTCTTGGCGTGCCCGAATAGTCTTCGATCCACAACCGAGCAGCGCTGCCACGCACACCGTTAAACATTGTGGAGTGTGATATCAACTCACCCTTTGAAGATGGACGTTCGGTTGCTCTTACTAGGCGCTCAGTACTTGAGATCCACTTCATTTCTTCTTCTCCTCTTCTCCCCCTCCTTCTCCTTCTCCTTCTCCCTCTCCGCCTTTTTCTTCTTCTTCTTCTTCTTCTTCTTCTTCTTCTTCTTCTTCTTCTTCTCCTCCGCCTTGCCACCTACCTGGCTCCTCGCAAGAACTAGGGGCGCGATTCAAGTTAGGCATGCATTTTAATAACTGATACGACATACCAGCCTTGATCCCTAAACTGTTTGACTAGTCAGTTCGATAGGCTGGCATCTCATGCACAAAGCATGCACCTCGATCGGTGGGCTCCATATCCGGCTGGATGGTGAGACCCACCAGTTAAACATCAACGGCCTTTTAGGCTTTGTCTCACATGCAAGATGCCCGCAAAAATGAACGTTTAGCGAAGAAATGAGAATCAACCTCGATATGTTGAGAAATTAAAATTCTTCCCCCGATAAGCCATACTTTTGTATGATACGAAACATTCTGGAGAATAAGAAGAGTCGAGCACCGGAACAATTCGTTTATTATCCTGAGCTTTCAGACTCGTACAGGAGTCCACTAAACATTCTTCCATTGTCTATAAGTACCTACTAGTAAAATTTTCGTTTTGCTGACCTTCCGACCTGGATAGGCAGGGGTAAATTTCGGTTCCAAAAGTAGGTCATTAACTGAACGTAAACATCTCCCGCTACCTTCGTCTATCGGCTAAAGATCACGCAGCTGACGAAATTTTGCGGCCGCTGATCACGCACATCCCTGTGATCGCGCGACATTGGCCAATCGGAACAAAGAGACAGAAATCGCCAAGGCCAGGCGTACGCCAATCAGCGTGCAAACTTTGGGTTAGTTAACAGTTGAAGGCCATGCACGAGCGGACGGGAGTGCTCGATTTGTTGTGACAAAGTTCACTAGTCCCTATCTGAGAAACAAATGCTCGTCAAATAATTTGTTTAAAGAACTACACAGACACTTTCTGTGTTAATATAGGATTTTTTTGAACCACTA